CATCGGTGGACGCTGAACTGCGCGGGCAAATGATACTTCCCGGTTGCCCAGGCCGAGGAAGGGGGTTTGGTTGAGGTACCCCAACTTGAGCCTTCGACTCAAAAGTGTGACCCACAATGCAGTGGGAGGACGAAGGGTTTTGTTCGGGGACCCTAACCCTAGCCTCTGACTCAGAAGTCTGACCCACGAAGCAGCGGACAGTCGAGTTTTCTTTGGTGACCCTGTCCAGAGGCGATGACTCAACAGTCTGGCCTGTTCGGCTACAGTGAGTTGGCCTAACCCGAGGGCTCAGGGAATAAGACATTATTGTCTCATTTCTGATGTGGCTGCGCATGGCAGGTGAATTTTTGCTCTTTGGCTTTAAAAGTATTTTGACCGTATTGGATAATGCGCCGGCGGTCACGGTCAGCCGTTGGGCGATCGGAGTGTGCGGTTTTTGGGGCAGACCTTTTCTAACCCGTCCTTCCTCGGAGGAAGACATCGGTGCTTCCATAAATATGGACATGGGGAAACGCCTTACTGCCTTCACGCTCTTGTCGCAGAGGACAGTACGACTTTACCCCTAGACCGCCTCGTAGCATGATTACTCGTAGTACGGGGTCTCGCTGTTCTTGGTCTGGCTGCTCCCCTTTGGCCTTCCTGGCATGGCTGCACCTTGTGGAACGAAGTTCCAGCCAGTGTAGCCCGCGGCATCATTGCAGCACTCAAGCCCGACCACATCAAGGTGGCAGCTTGAGGTCGGGTTTCCTCACATTAAGGCTTTCAAATAAATCATGGTTTTACGGCAGTGAAGCATCAGTCATGCTGTCCATGATGATAATAATGATGATAATGCTGGTGAAGCCCTACTGTGAAGAAAGAGATAAAAGTGGATCAATAGAGCCTTTAATGCTGCCCTTCTACAATCATTTTCATCTCTACCCAAGTCCTAATGTTGCTACTAAGTGTGCCCTTAGCTGTGGTTGAATGACGACGATCCGATTTGATACCTCTGGAAACCATAGTCACTGTACCTCCAACTCCAAACTATATTCGTAAATTAGTAATGGTTCGAGATACTATCGTGATCAGAAGCCGAAAGTTCTCTGAACGGTTCTTCAATTGATCCCAGTCTGTTAGATAGTTATGTTGTTTGTAATTTGGAGAGGCTTTCGTAAAGTCCCAGAATAACAGGGATGCAAGGGATGATACTTCCCACTTGCAATCTACTGCCTTTGGCGCTTCCTATTCGTTCTCTATAAATTTGTTTATAAATTTTGAGTAGGGAGCTGAAGGTAGCAGCATAGAACCTTGTAAGAAAGTGGCATGATGTGTCATGTTCAAGTCACAACTCGAGCGTATGGTCTGTTGCGAGGGCTTCGGAAACTATTGTTTTGCTTTACCGGCTTTCATTATTCTGCGTTACAACTGCAACGATAAAGTAGATCGCTGGCTCATCATGTGACCCCAGCCTGACTTGCTTCTAGGCATCTTCTGGACATTTTCGACTAGTCCCTATTGTAACGTCATCTAGGATGATAGTGGCAAACAAAATTGACGCTGAAACTCATGAAATGGTCAAAAGTAATTTGCGAAGCACAGTGCGGTTGAATAGATTAGGCATCCAGACAATTATTGGGGACCCTTCCAAGCGTCAGATTTTTAAACCTAACGGCGCGATTGCGCAATGCCAGTACTGTAACTTTACGGCAGTTGTGTCTCTCAAGTCAGTCGTCACGACCCTAATCAGTTGACACTAAGCATTTGTGCAAGTTTACTGCACATCTACTTTGCCTGATCAATAACTGAGTATACTTTTGCGGATAAATAAGATTGGAAGGATCCATTTCGGTGACCTGACTTCGCTACCTTCAAATTAGCTCCTGGCGGTTTCCTGATGGTCTACTCCTGTTGTTAGGGAAATATACACTTGTGGTATCTTGATGGTTGGTTTTATTTTTGAAGGTTACTACTCGTGGTCAATCTATTTCAGCTGTTGTTTATCTCCGGAATGGATCAGTTGACTCCTACTCCCATCAACCAACAGGGTTCGAAGAAGTACCAAATCAAACAGACTACCCCAGATGCGAAAAAGAAGCGGAGTAAACGAACTCCGATGCGAACTGCGATGGATGTTGTCAACCGCATTATATGGGATGATGAAATTCCTCAGGATGCTGTCACTATAGGCTATGAGGATCGATTCTTGGGTATCCTGGAAAAACCCTTTGAGGCGTTTTCATGGGAACCCCTTGACAGTTTGGACTATTACACGTTCGGGATTCCAGAGCATCGGATTCAATATTTCAAATATAAGAATAACGTAATATGGGACAAACGGATCCTTTTGGATAACGTATTTGGCTCACAAGGTTCAGGGATAACCATACACAATGTGATAAGGCAACAGAACGAGGATGAGGAATCACATATAGCGATGAACCAGATTGATTCACCGGAAAGTGACATAGAGGATGATGGGATAACGGTATGGACTGGAACTTCCGGGGACAACCCGCGACTTGACAGAGCTGATAAGAACGTCCCTAACGAGGACTCGGACGAAGACACTGATGACGCTGATGCCTATTGGCAAAACAAATTGCGCCCGAATTTCTTTATCTGCCATCGAATCGACTCATCCGAGTTTGTGGAGCAAGCAGTCAAACTCCAGTCACATGTGTGTAAGTGTGAACCTGCTTTCAAAAGTTGTTGCATACCTCCGGCAGCCTACCACATGACGTTGCGTACACTTCGTTTGGATAATGCTGAACAGGTGGGTTGTGTTCTTCAGTGTTACTTAGATAGCTCTTCTATGCATCTTTTGTATTTACAAGTTTTCGGGTGTTTTCTATTGTCGCGTGGTGAACGGCCCTATTCTTCAAATTAGGATTTGATGAACTTAAGCTTAAATAATTCAATGGCTTTCTCAAAGGAGAATCCTCACTGATGAAGCGGAATGTTTGGCTTTTATTCATAAGATGTTTGTGGATTTCGAAGAACAGCAGCTGCTTTCCAAGAGAGGTTTATTTCGGGAAGGGGGTTACTATGAGCCGTCTGGGAATCTCAAAGGCCCGAATCAGGTTTGATAATTTGCGTCACGTGTGGCGCCAAAACAGCTTATCACTGGGTCTCAAGCGTCACATGTACCAGGCTACAGTAAGGGTTGTATTACTGCATGGTCGCAAAACATGGTATCTCCGGACTTATGATGTGAGGCGTCCTCCACCATGCCTCAGAAGCGTTGCTGATATCGGATGGCGCCAACAAATTCGCAACGAGAGTATAAAACTGGTGTTTTGCTGTGCAGCGGGTACTTCAGTCGCTTAAAACATCCAGCACCATCAACTGCGGCGGCTGGGCCATGCAGCATGCAGAAACGAGTGTTGTCCGCCTCCTTCATAATGGCACAAACCTCGAGGTGGATAAAGTGTAACTTGGTAGAAGGGTGTGAAATAGAATGCGATGAACTTGAGTGTTGTTAGTTTGACCCGCCTTCCGGAATGTTGTTCCCTTTATCCCGCCTGCGCTTGGCTGGAGACATCGCAAGAAGTGGCAGCTACTCGATGTCGGAGCCGTCATTTCCTTTCCAGATTACCTGGTGAGGGTTTAAAGATGCAGGCTTGATATAGGCCTGTCCCAGGTTTCTTCCCTATTCTTTTCCTCCCATTACGAGGGCTTAAGTATAGTGGACTGAAATCAATGGTTTTACAGCAGTGAAGCACCGGTATTAACACCGATGATGATGGTGATAAATTGATGGGAAACGAATCCATATTGTGCTAGTTTTAAGCTCTTACGGATGGCTTTTACAAAGCTTGCCTGCAAGCACCTGTTCATTGTATCGATACTAGTCAATAACGCACCCAATCACACATGCTCTTTAAGTCCTTCCTGACTCGTTGTAGCCCGATGGCAGTTGTTCGTTTGCTCCTTTCCTTTTTATTGTGATGTCTGTCTCTGCTTGCCACCGTTTTTGAAAATCCATAATTTAGGTCCTGTGGACTCTTCCTCCAATTTGTCATCTTAATGCGGCTCTCTGGCGTCCCTTCCGCTTTTTGATTCGCACCATCGGTTGCGTTGATGGGACGATGCAAAAAGAGCCGATAGAATCGGTTTGCTATAGCTGTGAGAATCCGTTCGGTTTTTAAATGCTGTCCAATGAAAATACACTGTTGGATTGTTCAGCTGTGGAGTTCTTTTTTATACAGGTACTGTGTAACACGAAAGAAGCGAGAGCTGAAGCACTGCAAGCTTGTCAAGACCTACAGAGGATATTCGAAAGGCAGTGGTTGGATTCGAGCCACGGACCATCCGGTCAATGTCTTTAACCACTGAGGCGCATCATCTCGCTGCGATATTGTCAACCAGTTTGTATCGGTTCACCGCGTCTTTATCTTGATTCATTTCCACTGAAAAACACTTTCGGAAATCTTTCGGCAGTTTTTGTCCATTTTCAGCGGTTGACGACCAACAAATACTGAAATACAAAAAAAGCCTTTAGACCCACCGCAAGCGACCAGCCCGACGCTGTAGGGTCTTATGTAGTCAAATCCTTCTGACATTTGATTTTTGTGCTTTTCTGTGTTTTTCGTAATCCTTCGATCTCTGTTTTTAGTGCAATGTAGTTGAAATGGGTCTCGAATTCGAATGTGTGATTTTCGATACACTATGTATCCGTATACATTCAACTGATCCCCAGCCTGGTGTCCATTTACGGAATTGTTTCTTGGTAGCTCCACCACACTGAGCAACTTGAAAATCGCTTAGTCAAATTGTGCTGATTGCGTTTCAGGTCTCTGAATGTGTATGCGCTCTGAAGTCAGCCCATGAGGAACTGCAAGACCTACTTCCAACCGAACCACTATCGATCCGTGGCATCGGGAATTTTCATGGGCGTGTCGTCTATGCCGCAGTGGAACCAAATCAGCAGCTAGTAAACTTTGTAGACCATTTGGATCTGGTTTTGAACTCCTGCGGCCTACGTCCGACGGACGGTCGAGATTTTGTGCCGCACATTACCTTGGTTAAGGTAGGCTAACATTTTCTTTGAGTGTTACCTTTTCATCCCGTTTGTGTTGCACTTTGCGGTCGATATGCTAAACAGCCCTTTCTGACAAGACATTCCTCAGACACAAACCACCTTCAATGTGTGATCCTTACTCACCTTAGTGACTACCTGAGAGCGCGCAACACAACCTTTTATTGTGTTTTCAGATCAGTATAATCGTTTTCTGTGGCGGGCTAGCCCTGACGTCTTCAGGAGACAGCTTTTATTCATGAACGGAGGTTGCTTCTGTTCAGTCAAGTCATGTTCACTAACAGGCGTCGCAGCTAAAAGTTCGCCTTAGGGTGTGTAAAGCTTTGCTTGACCTTACCTGTATCACTTAATCGACTTTGAGAGTCCCAACCTTATACCTATTGGCCTCCATGCAATACATTTGCAGGTTTGGACGCGTAACTTCATTGCGTAGTGGAATGGACTAAGTTGTTCACCCTAGGCCTCGGAGGTCCTCATCTTCTACCCACCCATCCTTGGTGAAAGTGTAATCGCTTCAAACGGCGTTCTTGGCCCCTGTATTGTAGCTGGCAAACTGAACCGGCTTAGTGGTTTCCCAGTATTATTCCAAACATTGTCTCCGTTGGTCTGAAATCCAAGTTATTGTGATCATTTATGTCTTGGCCAGCAACTGAACTGACTTTCTTGTAAGTCAGTAGAACACCTGTGGTCTACGCTGATGTAGTCGTCAGTGCCGCTGGTGATGCTGGTAATGTGATGTGCTGAGCTCCTATTGGATGAACTTCCGAAAACATGTTCGAACAGTCTCGCCTGTGGCGTCCCACTCTGATCTTTTGGTCAGCCATTCCCATTTCGGCGCTCCTTCGAAGTGTAGGTACCCCATTCTTGGTAGTTTGGCACAGTGATACCGGGCTTTTTGCTCCTATTACCGGCTTTTCTTTCCGCTACTCACCAGGACATCGTCTAATCTTTAAGAAACAGTGTCCAATACTGGTATATTGTTGTTAATAATGGTGACTTGCGTGTGCGAAAAAAAACTGAGAACATGGGAAGCTTATTTAAAAAGGAGGTAAAATTTGCCACGAGTCTGACTGGAAATGGTCTCGACATGCTTGCCTATGGGGGTGGTGGATAGGAGTGGACTCAAGCTGGCATATGGATTGAAGTGTCGTGGGCTGTTGCCTGAGAGGTAAGCATTTCAGATCCCTCTGTTCGGACCCGGACGCCCTCATGCTTGCACTGGATGTGAATGACTTAACGGTTCGAATTTTTCACCGAACAAACTGTTGGGCAGACGTTCACTGACCGATAATTTAGGTACCAAAGTCGATCTTTCCTTTTGACTCGGGACCTTCATCCATCCATTGCCACGCGCAAGAGTACATGCGGTCACAAATTCAAGCGTAAGGTTTTAGAAACGGAATCATGACTCAAACGTGTCTGTATGAAGGAAGAATGGTAAGCAAGCGATACTTCAGTGTTTGACAGCGATGTTTCCTATCTTGAGTTGAAGGCCTTCGTATGAAGAGTGATATTGAAAATCACTAGGACCTTTGTACATGTCGTCAAACGTATGGTTTTATTCCACACGAAAGCATGAGGCTGACTATTTGGGAAGACTTTGGAAGTCATTGTACCAAACAGATCCCAATGTGGCTGCACTTGATTTCGTAGGACTAGCGTGCTTTTAGCGAACGGTCTTAGCCTCAACGAGTTCACACTTGGCCGCATGTGTGGTAGTCATTCAGTAGGATTTATCAAAAGAAGTCGTTCAAGTTGAAAAAAACAACACCTACGCGACGCCATCTTTTCCACCTAACACGGTTCATTCACACAAACAGGATAACCCATCAATTATGCAACCTGGCACCTATCCGAATTCGCCTGCTTCCTTTGCGCTAACTAAACAACAAAACTATGTATGCAAAATCCGAAACTGACCTATTCGAAAGACGTGCCGGTGGTTGGGTTCCTTGTGTTCCCGGAAATCCAGCCAACCTTTCGAGTCACCCGATCTGTTGAAGCTTTTATTTTAGTGAGGTAGATTACTTGAGGGATCTTCCTGGAGAGGTTCACCATTATCGTCCTCCCAAAGATCTTTCTGAAGCGAGACCGTCATTGCACACATACACTACACATTCACTGTAATTCCTTCGGAGCAGTTTATAGGAGTGCCGTCTATGGGTTTTCTCGTATTGAATGCCCATCTTGTTAAGCTGATCTTATTGGTCGATAGCTATTCTTCAGGCACTTCTCATTTGCATCTGTGTATTGCTCATGCATATTTGTTGCGGCTGCTCCCTAGTGCGTACTTTGGAGTGTAGGATTTGTAACTATGACAGGAACGTTTTTATCTTTGTTCCCATCCGAATCTCATGCTGTTTGTTGTACGCTTATCGTTCTCTTCTCTCAGTCAGCTATATGTTTGATACTCCGTCGCCAGATTATTCATGATTCCCATTTATTCTGTTTTTCTCACAAAATGGGGTGGACCCTGTTTGAGGGATTAACACTCCACATTGTTCGGCACTCAGAGATGTTCTCTCTCTTCGTGTATGGAGACATTGCTCTCATGTGCTGGATTGGGACCGGTACATCCCATCTGCTTCTTGGATAGATTTGCTTCTCAAAATCACACTCTTGAGAGGGACTACTGTGTATATTGTGTACAGTATATTTCTTGCATTCGTCATTCATGCCTCACCTTCTTAGCTATGCTTGTTATTTTCAGTCCGTTCGTTTTACCTTCGATGGTTGCCGTTGGTCTTTCGAACAATCGGTATCATGGAGATTGTATGAAGCAGCTCGCTTCCTATGGCTGTTTTCTTTTTGGTTTTAAAAAGCACATTGCCGCAACGAAATGAGTTTTCCGCTTACCGTACCCTTCACTGTCGCTTTGTCACTTTTGGCCAAGTCTTCGAGCGTTAAATAATGAGGGTTGCTACCCCGTCGCCACATTGTCTCTGCCTTTCGTTTTCAGCTAAGTCGTCCAGTTGGTCGCAAACTCCAAATTGACCGGATTGATCCTGCACTGTATGAGGACTTTATCGACTGTTCATTTGGTTCACAGTTGCTGGGATCGATTTATCTCTGTTCGATGGAGAAAACTCGTGATTCAGAAGGTTTTTACATCTCTCCCGCGCACGTGACTTTCATGCAACGTATCGTCTAATTCAGTGAACGTATGTTTTCCCCTTCGTCCGTTGAATGTATTGTTTTCTGAGATCCTATCTCTTCTTTTTTTGTTGCTATTTTTGACTTTTTTCACGCGCTTGATCCTTTTCTAACACAAGATACACGCACTAATTGTTTTTATCTTAATAATATATTGTTTTTCTAGACGGGACGAACTTTTCCTACATGTAATTTCACCGTCATAGATTGTGTGTAGGATGAAGTTTTACGTTTTGTTCGTCACAAGGCGGTGTTTTGAACACAATGAGTCTTTTGCCCACGTGTTCTCTAAATCCGCATTTTTAATGAGACCCACCCACGCATATCCTTCACGTGGGAAGTTGGACGGAACCAGCTGCCGTCCTTCCTTAATGTGTTAACCAACCGGAACACAGAGCTAGGGGCGAGGTGGCTCAGTGGTTAGAGCGCGAATTTACTGACCGGAAGGTCCGCGGTTCGAACCCGACCTCTGCACCTTGACCTCCCTGTCTAGGCTTGGGCAACCTGTCAGTATCCTAACCCTCGTGCTTCCTTCGGGTGGCAAGACAACCGAAAGGGTGTTACGACTGAAAGGTTACAGAGCCATTCAAAGCAATATTCCGTGCATCGCTACTCGATAGGGACAGGTCAGTGTCCGCGTTTTCCAGTCTTTCCATCCCCTCGAAGTAAGGTAGAATGTTGTTTACTGCCTGTATGATAGGGTAACACAAACCGGCTCAAAAACAGCTTGACGTGAGAAGTTTGTGTCGACAGAGTGGTTACCCGGGAAGATTCCTGGCGAAGTATCTCTAATCCAGATCACAGAAATTTGCGGGGGAGACCCTGTGCCTTCCATCCAGGGCACTATTTGCGAAGCAACAGTGCGGTAACTGCAAAGGAGTCTTACGAACATCTTTAATGCCACACTAGAATGTTGCCCCCACCAACAAGTGCTGAAGGGCAGTTTCTGGCCAAGTTTGCTCCTGCGGAGACAGCTATATTGGTTGAACTGTGGGGTGGTTTTCAATACGCATATCCCCTTCTGTACAGCAGAGGAGAAAACGACGCCACACAAGCAGCTCGGTGTTATCCAACCTCCTTGAAATGAAATGCTTCACATTCCATCCACTTTTGCACCGATTTACGAACAGCTGAACTTTCTATCACAGAAGCATACAATTTGTATTCGCATTTTTAACCACGAGTGTTGTACATAGAATAATTACTCATCGGTCTCAAATGACACGCAAAACCTTAAATTGCTATACCAATCGTCGCATTCGTGTTGCCTTCATTTGGTTTGACGTTTACTTGGTATTTCGATCGATTGCATTCGACTGAGCCAGAAGAGATGATGTGGTGAAGATCACCGCTCATGCGGTGGCGTTTTCATGTGAATTTACGAACATTTCAGACATTTAGACCCAATCACGTCATTCGCATTGCGTGGTCACGTGCTGTTCAACTATGCAGTGTGCACTGCACAGCATTTTTCGGCTCTTTACTCACAGGATGCAATCTCGATTGAGGTTTCCACATCTGATAATATCAAGAAACTATAGTCAGAAGAGGGATGTGAATTTACGAACATTTCAGACATTTAGACCCAATCACGTCATTCGCATTGCGTGGTCACGTGCTGTTCAACTATGCAGTGTGCACTGCACAGCATTTTTCGGCTCTTTACTCACAGGATGCAATCTCGATTGAGGTTTCCACATCTGATAATATCAAGAAACTATAGTTTGTTCAGAAGAGGGGGGGATCGAGATGGCTCAAGAGCGCGAATTTGCTGGCCGGAAGTTCCGTGGTTTGAACCCGACCTCTGCCTCTAGACTTCCCCTGTCTAGGCTTAGACAACCTGTCAGTATCCCAGCCTCCGTGCTTCTTTCGGGTGGCATGGCAGCTAGGCACCGAAAGGGTGTTACAGCTGAATGATTTATTATTTGTTCTTACTATTTCAGAGGGAAGAATAATTCAGATGTGTGAATCCACCAAAAAAGTTGTCCCTCAATGAGTCAGTCAACAGCCACACCAGTCAGACAATCACGTGAGAGCTAATCGCACTGCTGTCCGGCCGTTCGTGGCCGGTTAAGTGTTCAACCATTGGCCGGATGGTCGTTAGTTTGAGACTCTCTGAACTTTGTGATATGTTGATGATTCCCAGAATGTATAAAACAGCTGTACTATGCACTTCAGCTTCTCAGCACCGGCTGGCCCCAACGACTGGACGAAATCTTAAGTTAAAATCACCATTTCCCATCACACCACCATCAGTCATAGTTTCTGGCCAAGTTTGCTCCTGCGGAGACAGCTATATTGGTTGAACAGTGGGGCGGTTTTTTAATACGCATATCCCCTTCTGTACAGCAGAGGAGAAAACGACACCACACAAGCAGTTCTGTGTTATCCAACCTCCTTGAAGTGAAATGCTTGACATTCCATCCACTTTTACACCGATTTACGAACAGCTGAACTTTCTATCACAGAAGCATACAATTTGTATTCGCATTTTTAACCACGAGTGTTGTACATAGAATAATTACTCATCGGTCTCAAATGACGCGCAAAACCTTAAATTGCTATACCAATCGTCGCATTCGTGTTGCCTTCATTTGGTTTGACGTTTACTTGGTATTTCGATCGATTGCATTCGACTGAGCCAGAAGAGATGATGTGGTGAAGATCACCGCTCATGCGGTGGCGTTTTCATGTGAATTTACGAACATTTCAGACATTTAGACCCAATCACGTCATTCGCATTGCGTGGTCACGTGCTGTTCAACTATGCAGTGTGCACTGCACAGCATTTTTCGGCTCTTTACTCACAGGATGCAATCTCGATTGAGGTTTCCACATCTGATAATATCAAGAAACTATAGTTTGTTCAGAAGAGGGGGGGATCGAGATGGCTCAAGAGCGCGAATTTGCTGGCCGGAAGTTCCGTGGTTTGAACCCGACCTCTGCCTCTAGACTTCCCCTGTCTAGGCTTAGACAACCTGTCAGTATCCCAGCCTCCGTGCTTCTTTCGGGTGGCATGGCAGCTAGGCACCGAAAGGGTGTTACAGCTGAATGATTTATTATTTGTTCTTACTATTTCAGAGGGAAGAATAATTCAGATGTGTGAATCCACCAAAAAAGTTGTCCCTCAATGAGTCAGTCAACAGCCACACCAGTCAGACAATCACGTGAGAGCTAATCGCACTGGTGTCCGGCCGTTCGTGGCCGGTTAAGTGTTCAACCACTGGCCGGATGGTCGTTAGTTTGAGACTCTCTGAACTTTGTGATATGTTGATGATTCCCAGAATGTATAAAACAGCTGTACTATGCACTTCAGCTTCTCAGCACCGGCTGGCCCCAACGACTGGACGAAATCTTAAGTTAAAATCACCATTTCCCATCACACCACCATCAGTCATACGAGTGTTGTGGATTCATTGTGAACTGTTGATCAGTGACTAGCAAGTGGGAACCCGCATGTGGGCAGGTATGCATTTGTTTGGTTTGAATACTATGAAAGTCAGCATACCTTAATCAGGGGTGCCGATGCCTTCTTTGAGAATGTTGGCAGACGGGGGATAGTTGAATTAACGTGCTTAAGTGACTTCAGTGGGGAATAATTTTCCAACTAAACCGGCAAATTCGACCCCCAAGCAGTTGAAAAAGGTCTCAAATATTCCTTGGTTTCAAAAGGACGGCTTTACAGTGGTTGTTTTTTATACTTCAGCTGGTTATTCAAAGCATTGTTTTTGGTCACAAATCCACCCCCGGTCTCTTCAATGCTTTGACTGTCCAACGCCTTAAATCGTTTAATTTCAACGTTTATGATGGTTGTTCAAGCACCCCCAACTCATGTACAGTGAGTGCATTGTGTTGGGACCACAGAACCTTGTTCACGCATGTCTGTTCGTCATTCAGTTTGTTATCAACAGTCAGGTCTCTTACCTCCTCATCCGCCTCAAAAGTCTCTGGAACCTACTTCGGATTATACAGTTGACAGTCAAAGGGTTTATTCCACAGAGAAGTAGGAAGTTCTTTTTTGACGGCAACGTAGCTGTCCTGAGATTCCCCATCCTCATTCCTCATTTTTCAGAGTTTTCCATTAAGTTCCCGGACAGGGAACAGTTGAGTGGTGGTGTCCAGAGAGGGGTTTAACCAGCCCAACCGCAGAGAACAATACAAACCAACCCCATTACTGGCAAACCACTTTTGACTGAGAGACAGTGTTGTTCCCCTGGTACACGGTGAGGAATGGAATATCTCACCTTAACTGTACATGGTTAATTTATTCGGATTACTCTGCAACATGGCAGAATATTTTCATTTATATTCGAGTTTCTCATCTGGGACAGATTCCGGATGAGTTCGGACGCACTCAGTGGCAGTTACAGTGCCAGTGGGCTCGAGATGGTTAAGTTGTGAGCTTACTGGCCGGAATGCCCTGGGTTCGAACCCCAACCCAAGCATCTCGGCTGATTCTGTCTGAGCTTGCGCAACCTGACAGTGTCCCATCTCCCTCGTGGTATGGGACTCGAACCCCAACCCAAGCATCTCGGCTGGTTCTGTCTGAGCTTGCGCAACCTGACAATGTCCCATCTCCTTCGTGGTATGGCACTCGAGCACTGAAAGGGTGTCACGGCTAAATGTGGATAGTCCCGGGTAGACACGACTAAAATAAGAGTGGTAGCCTATATAGAGAGAATGCTTCGTTTTTTCCAATTCTTCCGTATCATACACTTATATGTTGTTTTTCCCCCACAGACTTTCGTATTCTCCGCGCAGCATGTTAACCAGTGGTCTGTACTCTGGTTTCCGTCCGTTCTTACGAGCTTTACTCACCCGAGGACTTCACACTCAGTCATGGGAAACTTTTCTTGTATCCAAACCCAGTTCACATGTGCTTCACGTTCAAATGAACCAGCCTGAAAAACGGAACGCCATGTCTACAAAGTTTTGGAAGTACGTTTGTTCTGACCGCTCAACTCACCATACGCGTGTGTAGGGTAACAATGCAGCTTTTCAAAGCGATCAAAACGGACAAATCAACCCGCGTTGTTGTGCTTTCCGGGCAGGGCAAAGTATTTTCCGCAGGTTTCTATGCTTCGTTTCGGTCCATTCTTTCCAGGCATGGATGTTAGCGTGTTCCCGTCTATTTTTGCGGAGGCACATTCAAAGGATTCAGCTCGTTTCGCTTTGGCTCTACGCCGTATTGTTGAAGACATGCAGGAAACGTTCAATTGGTTGGAGAAGGTATGCAGTAGATTTTTTCTCCCGTACGCTCATGTCGTTCGTTAACAGTGCAACAAACCTGTAATCGCCGCTATCCACGGTGCTTGTGTCGGCGGTGCTGTGGATATGGTTTGTGCTGCGGATATCCGGTACGCGTCCGAGGATGCCTGGTTCCAAGTGAAGGTAAGAACTAGCACCGAATCCTTTCTGACAAGTTGGTTGGCGGGCTGCTTTATCTACATGAACACTGCCTGTGCTGGGGTCTGGACCATGACTCAAGGGCTTATTTGTGACTACGAAAAGTCCTTCAGCTGTAGCATCCTTTCGGTGTCTAACTGCCATGGCACCGAAAGTAAACACGAGAGCTAGGATACTGCCAGGTAGCCTAACCCTAGACAGGGAAAGTCGAGATGCAACGGTCGGGTTCGAACCACGGACCCTCAGATCAGTAGATCTGCGCTCTAACCATTGACCACGAATCTAAACGCTTAAGCATCAAGGTGCAGTGGGTGGCTCGCGATGGTTCGGTTAAAGCGCAAACTTACTGAACGCAAGGTTCGCTGTCCGAACCCGACCTCGGATGCTCTTGTCGAGGCTTGGGCAACCTGGCGGTATCCCAGCCCTTACGCTTTTTTCGGAGGCTGTTACAGCTGAACCGGGAGATAGGGGATGCATGAACTTAACTTTATTTTGTCGGTCTCGCATTCGCTTCCTTGCCGTTGGACTAATGACATTTGGTCTCTTTGTGGCTGACTCGAATGCGAGGTAAGTAGTAGCACTTGTTTTCGGAAATTCGAACTGATTCCTAATCAGCGGAGCACCGGATTTGAGTTTTGTCTTGAGATGACCGCAACAGATTTGATATGTCGCTGACTGGAGCCGACCAGTTTAAATCAACCCTACGGGAGCAATAATAGACTGCTGGGGTGGTAGGATGGATGATTTTTGGATAGGGTTCAGCAGGAAAAAACGAAGCGATTCGTTCATTTTGAAACGTCCTGGCATTTTTTTAGCTAAACTCCTTAATATGACTTGACTGGAATTTTCAGTTAGGTTGTTCTCAGAGATTCACAACTCCCCAGATTTCGTGCACCCCAAATTTTGAACATGCTCCTGCGGAGATTCCTAGCATAAAAAAGGGGTTGATATATGACACTGGTCAGTCCGCTTCATAGTAAAAATCGATAAACAGATTCTGACGGAGTGTAATGAAGGCTATTCGTCATGGACGGTTCTGTTGTTGTTTATTCCTTTATGTGCGTTCGGTGGGGTGGCCCGTGTGTGTTGCTGACAGAAAGAGGAGAACTGGTTTCTTCTGCTGTCGCAGCGTAACCGCCTTAAAAATGGTGCACGGAAGGGCTAAAGTCGTTCGTATGGATACACTTTTGATTCCACGACTGTGGGCGTATGAACTGTCCATGCAAAAGACTCAGTTCTCTTCGCCACGTATCAACCATTTCGATACTGAGTAATCTTTGGTTTTTCACTACGAAATTCAACAGTGATCATCGCCTTTAAAGCCGATTCAGATCCACTCGCACGTCACCACTGTATGTCTGTTCACTCCCGACTTTTTGTTCCTACTTTTGTCGACGGTTAACTTTGAGCGTAATCTGTAGACGAAGATCCCAAGATTCCTGTAAGAGGTATAGATGGCTTGGCACCAAGGTATGTTCATGTCGCTAGTTTGCGGATCTTCCGCGTCCGCGAGGACCACTCACTCGACAGTGGTCTTCAACGTCACACAACTGCCCATGTTTTCTAGCAACTACTGACAACGACTAAGCTTGGGGCAGTATCAGACGCTTAGTCTTGTTGTAGTTTCGAATGATCTCTTGCTTGTGATAGACCAGCGTCTTCAACAAAGGGCATTTCTCCTCGAAATCGAAACAATAAAATCAGTGGCCAGCCAAACGTGAAACCTTGGCTCCATCTTCTCCATTTACTCTGTCGAGATCACGAACCGCATTCGTAAGGTTTGCATGACATGATTTCTTTTCCAGTATTTGGAGCGAAAAATCCTACACGTGACCGTCAAGACACTCATCAATTAGCCGTCAGTGAGAAGACCCAGTGGTTATCCGATTACGTAAGGTTTTCTCTGGTCGAATCGGTTTCAGCTGCTTTTTTGGCTAGACCTAATACTACTCACGAGTAGCATCACAGTCAAGGGGTTAGCACTAATACTGATGTTGAGGGTACATCATATTCCCACTCTTCTTCGTCGGTCACCAGCCAATACAGGAATTTCACTAACTGAGGTCATTTGACCCATCTTGGAAAGCGATTCGCACGTTAGGCCATGATTGACGTGGAATACCCTTAATAATTCCTACGGGAGTGACTTCGGTAGTGTTCCTCCTGAAAGAGTCTACTATACTATTCTCATCTGTACCTTGCCACACTGCGATGGTGAGGTAGGTAAGGTTTTGAATAGTGATACTAACACTTCAGATTCATCAGCTTCCTCTCCCTCATCCTGACAACACTGTGCGCTTCAGGAATTGGAACTGGGCATTGCAGCTGATATTGGCACGTTACAGCGTTTACCCCTCTTGTTGGGTAGTGACAGCCTCGCCCGTGAGCTGATCTACACAGCTAGACGTTTCGATGCTTCGGAAGCCCTCGCTTGCGGGTTTGTCAGGTAGGTCGAACCGGAACCGTCGCAAGTTGTCAAGCTCTTGTTGATTTGCGTGACCCCCATTATCCTTATTCCGACAATTATCTCTTCGGTCAACTTTTACCGTCCGCTAAATCGTTATGGGGACTAATTGTTCTCTACAACTAACAGTTTTTAAGTTCCAATTTTTGAACAGTTTGGTGACAAGTTTACTTAAGAAACGGCGTTCGAGGTGTATGTATGTGTGTGGGAGAACAAATCTGGTTACTATTAGTAGCCTGTGAATACTTTGAGGTTTCAAGGAGGTTCTGGTCCGTCTAAGTGCGAATTCTTCACACAGTCGATCAGCCGCTTGTGGCCGAATGGTTAAGTGTCCAAATGCTAGCCGCGAGAATGTGGGTTAGAGTGGAGACAATTCGGAATAACCATGAAACAGCTGCACAGTGCTTCTCGGCTTTTCGGTGTAGGCTGATTTCACTTACAGAGTGAAATCTACACTGAATTGCAATGACTTCTTCCCACGAATTCTATGCATGGTAACCATATACTCTTCAATTGTCCAGTGTGTTTTTCGCCCCTCCTACAATGTTCTTCTCATACTCTACCGCAAAAATGTCTACCATTCTTCATTAAATCGTCTTGTAGAATGCATCGATGGTTTTTCATGGTCAGTATCACCGCAGCAGTGATAGTTTTATATGCTGCTTTTCTACCAGTTCGTTACCGCTGTCTAGAAATTTCCTTTGCTAAAGGGATCACCATTGCTCGATTGATGGCCGAAATACCAAACCTACAAGATGTAATCGGAGAATTTCGTAAACTTTGACCATCCTACTTCCTAGCACGGAGCACCCTATTAAGACAGTTTGTGACTAAATAAGTGTCTTTCTGAAAACTTTTCGACACCTACCTTACGAGTAGTGTTGCGTCACGGAAATATACCGCGATATCTCGGTTATTGTTGCAAAAGAATCATCATCAAAGACAGCAACATAAGTGTTGACACTGATGCTTCACTGCCGTACGACCATGAGGTTCGTCTAGTTATATATATATATATATATATATATATATATAACTAGACGAACCTCATGGTCGTACGGCAGTGAAGCATCAGTGTCAACACTTATGTTGCTGTCTTTGATGATGA